AACGCTGTTGTGCTGTGCTGCGGTCGATGAGTCTGGCGTACTGGTGCAGCTCTCAGTTGCTTTCACTTCTCTTGCCAGCCGGCCAGGGACACGACGCGGAAATTTGGGGGATGCATGCGCTCACTTCCAGCGTCATCAAATGATCACATCCCAGTTTCTAATCCACAGTGTCAACTTACATTATTTAACAATGTTTTAAAATCACAATTAAAGATATTTAAGTGCAATTTTGTGGCGCGTTCATCGTATTATAAGCACCTGTTTCAGAGGCATCCCCCCTATTTTCTCTTTACAGTGGTACCTTCCACTATTACTCGCTTGTAATTACCGAAAGGGGTTGGCGCTGGACGAGCAATGTGCCTCTGTTTGTAAACCGCATAGGAAATATACGTTGAATGTACTCTTTGAACGTACCATACTAAAGATCATTGCTTTCCTTCTTTTAAGTGTTACCGAAAGGGGTTGGCGCTGAACGAGCAATGTGCCTCTGTTTGTAAACCGCACAGGAAATACAGTATACGTTGAATGTACTCTTTGAACGTACCATACTAAAGATCATTGCTTTCCTTCTTTTAAGTTTAACTGATGGCCAAGGTTTGACGTTCATTCATACTAGAAGGGAACAGATGTGCGTTAGGAATGTGTAACATACAGCACAGATGAAATTTCTTCCCTCTCAGCATAAAACAAGAGGAGCTGCTGCGGGTGTCCACGCCGCCATCAAAAGAAAAGTTCACAAAAATAACAAAATAATACAAGACAACACATGAGACGCAGACAATCGTGCAATCTTAACCATGTTCCTGTGTACACTTTGTTGTCTGAAGCAGTTATAGATGAAAGAGGAGCGAAACAAAGTGTCCTTTTCACCAGTAGATCAATGGCATCATGCTGCAATGTGCACACGTATGCTACAAGCTAAGCTTGAAAGCAACAAGAAGCTGTAGCATCCATTAACGAAAAAGAGAGATTGGCTCTCTTCTCCTGTCCCATGTAAATCCGCTTCAATTCCAAGCCGCAGTTGTGTTGGAAGATGCAAACATCTAAAAAAGGCCGAATGGGGCCACGCGAGAATCTGACTTACAATACAATACAATACAATACAATACAACACATCCTGATTTATGTAGCGCTTTCGCAATAGCCATGGCACTTTACAAAACAGTTAACACAAAATAAAATAATAAACACAACACAGACAGTCGTGCAACCTTAACTGCTTTTCCGTCATACGCTTTGTTGTTTGAAGCAGTTCAACATGGAAGAGGAGAGAATCAAAAGTCTCCTTTCACCAGTGGAGCAGAGACCCCATGCTCAAAATGTGCATACGTCTGCTACCCTGCAGTACTGTATATATATTTTTTTGTCTTGTTAACGCTTACCTGTATGAAAAAACTACTAATTTGTCCAATTAGTATTACATCATTTCGATGAACCAAGCAGTTTTAGTGAATTAAGATGATTAAAGCTACATCATGGATTTTGATGATGTAAGAAGTTTAGTTGTGATTAAAGCAATACAAAAATTAGCTTAGAGTTAACCACTAATCTTCATGCCCAAAGTATGTCACTTCATTTTTTTTCCGATAAATTACACATTTTTCTTTGGTTTATTACTTTGTTTCAAAATGTCAGTATTGTCATCTTTCCTCAAGCATTCCAAAATGAAAGTGTATTCATGATTTGTTGAGAATGAGCCATGGTTTTCATGCTGCTCCTCCTCCAGGCAAAGTGATCTTTTTAGACTTCACACATGCTCAGTGCAGTTTGTCTTATGATTAGCGTGGTGGGAAATAGGAATGAACTATTTTTTTCCCCCTTACGGCTAATGTACTTTTATTTATTTATTTATTTTTTTGCATTTGCATCATAAGCTTGATGTGAGATTCCAAGACTATCTAGTGCTGACCTCTGCCAGGGCCACACCTGTTTCCAACATATAAGCTGACAGTAAAATAACATCTCAGATGTCTGAACCAAAAAACCTGAATGACTTGTAATGCCACAAATAGGCGTTGATTACAATCAAACCTCAACATTCTTTTTTTCCCCTCTGTCTCCTCTTAATAACTTGCTGTGCCATTTTCTTTTGCATGTCTGTGAACGCACCCCTCCCATTCTGATGTGTTTGATCCACACTGACTGACTGACTAACCAATCAACTGATAGTCATCGAAACAAAACTCCTCACAGCTATCATGCGAAATATAACACAACTTTTAGCCTCACAGAAATCACGCTAACAGCCCGACTGACTGACTAACTAATGAGATGAATCAGCTAATGTCACATAACTCCTCACAACTAATCATTATATCATGGTCGAAAAATCATGCTAACAAGAAAATCCAAATAAAAAAACCTAACTTCTTACAGTTACTTACTTCTAAAGTTTGTATTGATTAACTAACTAACTAACTAACTAACTAACTAACTAACTAACTAACTAACTAACTAACTAACTAACTTTTTTGTTTTTCCTTGCCCTCCTCCACTCACTCACTCCTTTAAAAACATCATGGCGACTAACCAAACTAACTAGCACGGCAATAACCAAAAAGCCAACGACTAACTCATTAAACAGCATTACATAATTCCTCGCAGAAATCATGTTGAAGAATTAACAGACATAATTCCCAACAGAAATGATTGCAACTAACTATTAAAACTAACTGACTGACTCACTAAAACAAATTTGTATCTCACAGCAATCATGCTAACTACCTGTGATCAAAACAACTCTTAGAATAAGCACTAACTAACTAACTAACTAACTAACTAACTAACTAACTAACTAACTAACTAACTAACTAACTCACTAACTAAGCCAAGTATTTTCCTCACATACTATCGGCTGTGGCCTCATTAAGGACCATTAGCACCGTGAACACGTCATTCAGATGTTGTTTATCCGGTGACTGCTGGTACAGAGCGTCAAGAAACGGCTGTTTTGATTCAGCCATGACCACAAAACAACATACAGAGGCGAGTCGCAGGTGTCATCTCGCTGGGGCGCCTCGTTGAATAGTTGATGGCGTGCTTGTGACTTTGGTAACACGAAGCCCATGGAAAGTTGAGGCGTGTTGTTTTACACTGCGCCTCACAGACACGCTACATCTCGGCCAATGGGAATCACCTGCCATGGAAGCAATGAATCAATGAATGAATGAGTCAGTCAGTCACTGCGAAACTGTAAAACATCTTTGAAAAGGGATTTACATCCCATAAAATAGTCATCAATTCTCCACAGCAGCATGACCGCAAGTCCCCCCCAGCATGTCCACACACATTTAGGAACTACATGTTATATGTTCATTAATATACACTGTCCCTTTTAAATAAATGAATTACAAATGACAATAAAAAAGCAAATAATTGACCATAGGCTGACCAGACATTGCCACATTTTAAAAAAACAGCATACGCCGGAGTTTTTGTCACAACAAACATTTGCACAGCAGCACTGTCCCTTTTAAATAAATGAATTACAAATTACAATAAAAAAAGCAAATAATTGACCATAGGCTGACCAGCCACATTTAAAAAAAAAAGCATATGCCGGAGTTTTTGTCACAACAAACATTTGCACAGCATCCTGTAATATCACTTTGATCCTCAGGAGGCACAGTTGAGCGCCTACAAAGTGTCGAAAACATCATACGTGTTTACTCACAACGTTTTTCTATTCAAAAAAAGTCACAACATCCTGCCCCTGCTGTCCCAAGCTTTGATGCAGTTGATTATTTAGAATATCATTGTGTCACAATAAACTTTGAAGTCGTGGGACACCTAGGCGTTCACTTTGAGCAGAATAAGTTCTTTTCATGTCTTCTGGGAAGCCTGCGAGCACAGCGCTACTGCGATAAAGATAAAGAAAACACGAATTCTATATACATGTTGTGTCCTTTTTTTTCTACCGCTTCAGGGATAGTTTACGTTATTTTCTCTCTTTAGGAGAATTTCCCGGATGACACTATTCAGCCTGCCGGGCCACGAGTTAGCAAACAGATGTGCATTGTTACTCTGCTATCTCTCGATTCATCATTTCTGCCACCATAATATGTATTGCAGATGTTTAAGTCATTATTTGTTACGTTTTTTTTTAGAACATATACAGGCAAGTCAGCATTTAAAGTATATTTCATGATGTGTTGCTGTATGTATAGTAAGTATTGCTGATGTTAAAGTAGCAGTTGTCAGTAATATTAATGCTAATTTCCATTAGCCCGTCTAGAACATTTCACGTCATATGTTAGCATTGAGCTACTGGACTTGTGTTCAAAATGATATAGTTGGAGGAACATTTTGTTGTTTAAATATCCAATATTTAATCCTCTTTTTTTCTTTGCAGCAATTTTATAATTAACCTGTGAACGGAATGACAAACAGCTTTCAGCAAACAAGCTAACTGATATTAAGCATCAGAACATATACAGGCAAGTCACCATTTCAAGTATATTTCATGATGTGTTGCTGTATGTATAGTAAGTATTGCTGATGTTAAAGTAGCAGTTGTCAGTTACATGAATGCTAATTTCCATTAGCCCGTCTAGAACATTTCACGTCATATGTTAGCATTGAGCTGCTGGACTTGCGTTCTAAATGATATAGTTGGAGGAACATTATGTTAAATATACAATATTTAATCCTCTTTTTTTCTTTGCAGCAATTTTATAATTAACCTGTGAACGGAATGACAAACAGCTTTCAGCAAACAAGCTAACTGATATTAAGCATCAGGTACATTAATCAAGCCATCATACTAGAACATTTCACGTCATATGTTAGCATTGAGCTGCTGGACTTGCGTTCTAAATGATATAGTTGGAGGAACATTATGTTAAATATACAATATTTAATCCTCTTTTTTTCTTTGCAGCAATTTTATAATTAACCTTTGAACATAATGACGAACAGCTTTTAGCAAACAAGCTATATATTAAGCATCAGGTACATTAATCAAGCCATCATAATGCATAGTTAAGAAACATCACAGTGCTTCGACTGCAAGGCAGATCACAACAAATGGTGCAATCCTCATTACAAGACTCATTTCTCTTTTGTGTAATCCATAGCATAACAAATCACTGTATGTGCATTTATG